TACTATTTTTGGCAGGACACGAGCAAGATTCAGCTTGAATCCTAACAACAGAATTTGAGGGACTTTAAATTTTACAGTTCTCCCATTTTAGCTCCATTATTGGTTATATCTTATCATTCAGAGGATCAAATAAGTTCAGGGGATTTTTCCCTCTCATAAACTTTAAATTATGATATAAATAACAAATAATTAATCAGAATTTAACAAAATTTAACAGCTGTTCTGCTTACTAGTTCTTCAGGTTTTAATCTTCTCTAACCTGACTATATTTGAATTCATAAGATTTATTAAATCTTACTTCTACTCAAACATCTTCGAAAGGATTAAATTCTGATAAATTGCACGGCTGTTTGTTTCAGAACTTAGGATCATGTGAGATGGATATCCAGAAATCTACCAAACATTATGACAAATCTTGATTTTAATCAATCAAAATCTATCAAAATAGTAGGATTCAGAGTTGATGAAATTATATTTTGGGCGATTGAAACAAAATCTGACTTAAAATCATGTCTAAAATGGGCTATTAAAAATCCCCCATGAACTTCAAATTCCTGCAACCCTAATTGGATTTCTTTTCTTATTTTCCCTTTTCTCCTATCATACTAGGGAACTCAACTGCGAGCTCAGCCAGCTGCTTCTTTACAAAGCCGTCAAGCACCTCAAGCAACACAAATGAGCACTTCATAAACAATGGAGATGATCCAAAGGAACCCACTCTTGGGGATTCAAATCTTAAAATCTTTACGTTGGCTGAATTGAAGAGCGCCACTAATAATTTTAAGCCTGATACAGTTCTTGGAGAAGGAGGGTTTGGAAAAGTTTATAAGGGATGGCTTGATGAGAAAACCTTGAGTCCTGCCAAGTGTGGAGCTGGCATGGTGGTCGCTGTTAAAAAGCTGAAATCTGAGAGCAAGCAAGGTTTCGAAGAATGGCAGGTAATGATTCAAGTAATTTGTTTTTGAAAATGAGATACCTTTTCAAGTATAATATTGGCTTTTAGCTTTGTATTATCTGCTTATATGCTTCTCATTCTATTTGATGCAAGTTATTTTTTTGCAGAATTTGTATCAGATATAAAGAAGTAATTGCTCTTGAAAAGCTCGTTCTATTCATTAAATACTTGGGCTTAAAAATAATTCCATAGGCTACTTCTATATTTCCTAGTTAGAATTAGGACTCTAAACAAGATACAAATTTCAACAAGATAACATTATTTTTTGCTTGTTCAAGATGTGAATTTAAGTATGTAGAGTTTACTCTTATTTTTATTCATTTGTTGATACAATTATTTACTGCATCTTCCAAGTGATAAAATCTGGTAACAATACTTATCTTTACTGAAATCTTTATTTAAAAAAAAGGAAATTTTTTGGGGACATTTTACATGCATATACCACTACCCAATTCTTCTGTATTTACGTAAAAAACACTTACATTTTTCTTAACATTTGTACCATTCAAATCTTTGATATCATGTAAAAATTGAAGTTTAGGTGTTACATGATATATAAATACATAAGAATTGAGTGGTATGCTTGTAAATCTTCTTTTTTTATATAAGCTATCATAAGGTCTGTAATTAGAACTTAACATGTGGCTGGTGTTTCTTAACTTTATTCATGTTTTATTGCATCCAAACGGCCAGTTATTTTGATTTATGTTTATCTTTTGTTAATGTTGATTACAGTCTGAAGTTAACTTCTTAGGAAGACTATCTCATCCCAACCTCGTGAAGCTTTTGGGCTATTGCTGGGAGGAGGACCTTCTCCTTGTTTATGAATTCATGCCCAAAGGAAGCTTAGAGAATCACCTCTTCAGAAGTAAGTGCCACATCAATATCTAAAACTTTCTCAGAATTACACAAATAATACTTTTTCAGTGATTGTTTTGCAAACTCTAGAGCTAAAGTTATTCTGCAAAGTAATTATCTCCTGCAATTGTCTTCTTTCTCACTCAGCTTGTAACTTGGGGTATTCTTATTATTTATTTATAAATCCTATTCCTTTTATCATGATATTTTGGTAAACATAAAGTTTATTAATGTCTAAGGTCATAATTAAGAAGATAACAGAATGTTCTTAATCTTAACGCTTACTGTTCAGGTACTTTTATCTGTCTTCTTCTTGGCGTCCCCAACATTAGCCACCTTTCTTTACAGTGTCATTTTCACACAAACCGCACAATTCTTATATATTTACAGATCTAACATTTAAATTTTCATATTTATAACACTCAAATCATTGACATCACATTATACATACCATTATCACTAAAATTTTAAAAGTGAAATATACTTTTTCATGTATAGCTTTATGACACCAAAATGTTATAAATGTAAATGTCAAACTTCAGGTGTTAGATATGTAAATGCATAAGAATTGTGTGGTTATGTATGTAAATTTCCCTTCTGAATTTTTTATGCGCAGTAAGGTAATGATCACTCTATTATTTATAAAGGAGGTTCGGCTTTTGAGCCACTTTCATGGAGCTTAAGACTGAAGATTGTGATAGGAGCTGCTCGAGGTCTCGCTTTTCTGCATTCATCAGAAAAACATGTAATATATAGAGATTTCAAGGCTTCTAACATCCTTCTTGACTCAGTAATACTGCTTTCTTCCTTTACAACCTTCTAGATCTCAAATTTTATGTTATTTGTGCTCTCAAGATTGAACTAATCACCATCTTTCTTCATCAGAACTATAATCCAAAACTCTCAGACTTTGGGCTGGCAAAGCATGGACCAACGGGTGGTGACACCCATGTTACCACTCGAGTAATGGGTACCTATGGATATGCAGCACCAGAATATGTTTCAACTGGTACATTTTAATAATGCTCTTATGTATGCACTCCCACGAGGGTGTAACTGAGCCAAACCGACTCATTAGTTGAGCTCGATGAGCTAGTAAGCCAACCTCAAGCTAGCCTTGACTTGGCTCATTAGCTACTGAGTCGGCTCATTTAAAAAATAACTATAATAAGAATTGTGCCCTATGTATGTAAATGCCCCAATAACATTACAACTTCACAATTTGTTTTGAACCAAGAACAGCCTTGGTAAACTTAATTCCCCTTGTAATTTTCAGGCCATCTATATGTTAAAAGTGATGTCTATGGATTTGGTGTAGTGTTGCTAGAAATGCTGTCCGGCTTGAGGGCACTAGACTTGAGCCGACGTAGCGACCAACACAATTTGGTTACTTGGGCTAAGCCATTACTCTCCGATCGGAGAAAGTTGTGCCGCCTTGTTGACCAACGGCTCGAGGGACAGTACCCATCAAAGGCTGCATTTAAGGTTGCACAACTCATTCTAAAGTGCCTCGAAGTGGAGCCAAAGTCCCGCCCCTCCATGGTGGAAGTGGTGGAAACTCTAGAGCATATTGAATCTACAAAAGGGAGATTAAGAGAGGGAAGAGAGCATAACTCATTGGCATCCTCGACCACCAGCAATGTTGATAGATAAAAGGCCAGTTCAAAACCTGGTTGGTTTTTTCATTTTAGATCGAAGTCAAATTTACACACATTGCACACAATTCTTATGTATTTACATAATTCATGCTGAAGCTTCATATTTATATAAATAACACTTGGATGCTTTACACCTCTGCATGAAAATGTGTATTTCATTTTTAAAAAGTGGTGATAGTGTTACTTTTAATGTGATATTAAAGATTTTGGTGTCATGTGTAAATATAAAATTTTGGAATGAGATATGTAAATACATAAGAATTGTGTATATAAATGCCCCTTCTTAATTTTGGCTTGGTTTGGTCACCTTTGGTTTCACTCCCAGTTCTACAAGGCTTGGTCTGTATTTTAGGAATCATGTAATTTTCTGTATCTTACCGGTCACATAATTTAAGAAATTATAATGTTATTTTCCCTTATTTTGTTTGTGGACGTTGGAAGCATTATTAGAGAAAATTTAAAGGTGTCTGTCAAGGGGGCATTTACATAAATATCACACAATTTTTATGTATTTATAATCTATCATCTAAACATATGTAATACATAAATTTTCCTTTTTTATATTTATACCACCCAAATCTTTCATGTCAAAAACAAAAACATCACTATTTTAACTTTTAATTATACCACCCAAATCTTTCATGTCAAAAACAAAAAACATCACTATTTTAACTTTTAAAGAGTGAAATACAGATTTTTATACATAGGTAAGGTGGCATATATATATATATATATGTAAAATATGAAATTTACAAATTAGACATGTAAATACATAGGAAAAATTTGGAAAAAAATATCATACCAGTTGCATATAGCCTAAGCCATTTATAACTAAAAACTTGAATTAATAGATGAGAGCTAATCATTTGGTATTTTCACATTCAAAATTCTTTACAAAACCACAAATTTAGATAATAAATATGTAAATACATGGTATGTATATGTAAATCTACCAAAATAAAAGATAAAAACAATTAAATGGAGATCCTTAAAAAAAAATAATAATTAAAAATCATATAAAATAAGGGGTATTTACATGCATGCCACACAATTCTCACGTACCACAGTAGAAACAACTGCGTTCATATTTACATACATACCACTCAAATTCTAAACATGACATCACATTCAAAATTCTTTACAAAACCACAAATTTAGATAATAAATATGTAAATACATGGTATGTATATGTAAATCTACCAAAATAAAAGATAAAAACAATTAAATGGAGATCCTTAAAAAAAAATAATAATTAAAAATCATATAAAAAAAGGGATATTTACATGCATGCCACACAATTCTCACGTACCACAGTAGAAACAACTGCGTTCATATTTACATACATACCACTCAAATTCTAAACATGACATCACAAAATACTATTTAAAAGTGAAATACATTTATAACAATCAAGTGTAATAAGTGTAAATATCAAGCTTCAGGTTTTAGTTGAGCTTCAGGTTTTAGTTATGTGAATACATAAGAATTGTGGCATATATATACTTCAAAATGAACTAGCATTTGCTCTCAAAATAAGCTTTTCTTCCAAAATAAGACATTAAACCCTGACCTCTCGCTCAAAATCTTCCATGAAACATAAAAATTAGGGGTAATATTTCACTCTTGCAAATAGCAATTGGCATGTAAATAGCGAAAAGTGGGGAAAAGATTTTCAGAAGAAGAGAAGTAAAAGCACTATTTCTCTGAAGCAAAAGGCTCGGGTGAAAATGATTGATAGGAGAGAGTCGTTTGCGAGTCGGGTATGGACTTACCCAATACATTCAGAAACTTCATCTTCTGTAACTCTCTCCCTGCAGAAGAAATTGCAACAAAAAAGTAGGGAATATTTACATACATACCCACTCAGTTCCTATGCATTTACATATCTAATACCTAATCCTCAATTTTTACATATATGAATTTTTTATGTGATATGAAAGATTTTGGTGGTACAAATGTAAAAAAGTAAAGTTTAGGTGTTAGATGTAAATGCCCCAAATAATAAGATACTCAAAGGGAATCCCAATCTAGAAGATCTTTAAAATTATATACAGTCCCTCAACACAAAAACAATCATTTCTAACATTTTAAAAGCTAAGTTGAAAAATCAATATGGAACCAACATTAGATGTCAGATAAGAATGAAAGCAGCAGCAATGATAATGAGAATCCTTCAGGCATAGTGTTTTCTTTATAGAGGTAAAGCTGTATTAAGAAACGAGCATCGCTCGAAATAATGGATCCCATTATGCTCAGGATCAAAATACTTGTGTAATATATGAATGCTTGTATAAATATGACGTATACTATTATATTTACACTTTGAACACGGGTCGTTATTCAATGGTTGGACTAGGAACACGTCCTAAACAATCAAAAATAAATCCAACTTATCGATTTCTAGCACAAATGAAAATAAATGAGCCAATCCTCGCTCAATTGAGACCGGATCAAACCTATCGCTAGCCCTAGTATGGCTCGATATGAGCAAGTGGCCTTGAGAATGGTTTGAGATCAGATCATTCATTGTCATCCTCATCATCATTAGTTTTATCCTAACTATTTGGAGCCGGATTTCAAATTATCATTTTCATTCATCATGTTGACTTTTGCCAATATAAATGTACAGTAATTGAGAAATCTTAGATAACTCCACAACTGCTAATACTGGTCACTATTTCATTATAAATATGTTTTAATAATGTCAATATATCTTTGAAGCAAATCTTTTCGCTTTAAAGCCCGCCAAGTTAATTTACAAGGTAGTTGATCATATTATTTCTCAAAATAAAAAATTAATGTGAAAATCATTTCTCTATTCTCCATATTAATCCATTAATTATATTAACACAAAAATCACCTCAATGGTAGGTCTTTGTGGCTCAAAACCAAATCGATTCTCCTGAAGGGATGTACATTTTTCTAAGTTTATGTTCCATTAATTGGTCCATAGCTTCTTTGATGACATAAGTTTGATTTCTCTATAGTTTGCATAATTTTAAAAATTATACTCATTCTGAAATGTTGATATCAATATGCTTCATTAATTATTTGACATCCTTTTAATTTTTAAAACTCTAAAAAAACTCATTCACCATATCCTCTAATTCTCCAAATCTCAATTATTAGCTCATATAGACCTCAAAGCTTAACTTTATGCATCATTTCTTAGCCAAGCCCCTCTAATTTTGGGGATAAATCTATAAGATACTATTTGTTAGGGCATGGGATCGCCCCAAAGAGTATTCAAGGAATCATGAATCCATGAGTCCAAAATGATGGACTAAGCATTAATCAATTTTTTTGGGCACAAAAAATCCTATTGGTGTATCAATAAACATGAAAATGCACTAAAAAAAAGTTAATGCACTAATGGTCCCCAAATTTACCAAAGGGCAAATCAAACCTAATAAGCATTAAAGTATCACCCTCTTAAAGCAAACTGAGGTTCATCCTCTAAAATTAAATGGAACATGCCATAACTCTGAGTCATCAATAGTCATGCCCAGTACCACTAAATGACAATTGGCTACATTTTGATCCTCTGAGCCATCCAATCTATCTAGTGTGATAAGGCATCTAACGAAAGAGACTAGATTTTTTTTTTTTCACAAGAGGTTATGTTCTTCGTAAATTGTCACAAATGAATTAAAATTGCTAACAATACGACTAGTGGCCACATATAGAGCTCATTGAACGATTCAAGAAAGCTTATTGCTCGATATTTGCAACAAAAACAAAACCTTTGCTTGAAACTATCACACTCTAAGCTCCCCAGATTCCTAATTTGGGTTCATTTGATAAAACCCGAGATGATCAACAATGGTATCCTCACAGAATATACCTCAACACCAATAACATTTCCAACATTTGAAGAGATATAATGGAACAATAACATGTATGCCACCTAGGAAAGCAAACATCTCATTAATTGGAGTGTTCTACCAAATGGGAGGAATTACTCTAAGGGCCTGGGCTAATATTAAATCTTGACCAAAATAAAATAATAATAATAATAATAATAATAAAAGAACACAAATTGAAATCAGGTGAAGTAAACACTGTTTGGAAAAGACATCACGGCGATGCAGTTTGGTGCATTTGGAAAAGGCATCGTGGCGGTTTTTTTAAAATATTTCGTTAAAACACAGCCGTGGGTTTGACCCCGCGACTTGCGTTTCTCCACTCTCGACCTCGGGATCAATTACCTTGCGACCCCTCTTCTCGCATTTCATCCGTCTCTCTCGGCCCCGCTCCTCTCTCAAGATTCTTCTGCCCTAGGTATCTTTCTCCCGTGGATCTGTGGCTCTGGTGGCTAGGCGTTATTTCCAGTTGCCTATTTTCCGAGTGGTTGTTCCGGTGACCCTTACATTCTTCTCCATCTCTTCTCTTTTATTCCGCTCATTTTTTGTGGTTTATGCACTTTGTGCTTTGTTTGGTGGATCACATTCTTCGGTTGGTGGTTATTGCGGTATGGTTTGTATTCTCTCTTCCCCTCTCCCTTCTCTTCTTAATGCTCGGTTGGGTAATTGTGCGCATGACTGGCTCTGTGTGGTATTCTCTCTTCTACTTTTCTTCTTTGTTCTTCACCTCTTGCAATTTCTCTCTTCTTTGTGCGGTCGTGTGCATTATGCTGGTTAGTTTTCTCTTCTAGGTTTCTCTGTTTGCTCGGTTGGTAGTTTTCTATTTGATATGTTCGGTTTGGTGGCTTTGATGCTTCATGTTGCATCCATAATGGTTTAGGTTTATGATTTTGATGCACTATGATTAGCGATTTGGCAATGTTGCTTGGATTGACGATTTGCGATGATCTATTGAGTTTTTTGAGATCTCATACATGCATAAAACTGTAATTAATTACTATTTTTATCAATTTCTACATGGGTTGTCTTTTAAAGCATTCAGGAAATATGAGCTCGAGAATTTTTGGTACCTCCCGAGAATTGCAGTGCTACTAACTTCAAGTCAGTCAAATAGCTATGAGAGAGTTTTACAAGTGCCCGCGGAAAATCACTAAAAACTGTGATTTTTTTCGATGGGCAGATAAGCTGGAAGATTTTGTTGCTAAGAGTGATCGGGCATGGAGGGTATCATTGGAGAACGACTTAACACATGACATATACCGTCTGCATTTAAAAAAAAATATTATTATATCATTAAATCTTATTTCAATAGTCTTTTTCTTAAATTTAGTAATCATGATACTTATTGTTAAGTAGATTGTATATCTTTTTTTGTATTGTTATGCACCAGATTTTTGCTTCTAAAGTATAAAATATATTGGTATGACAGTCCTCTTGCAAAAACTATTACTATACAATAACACAATTATCATTTGTCTAGAAACAGCTGCAACGCAGTTGTTTTCAAATTGCAAAAAATAAACAGACAACCAGTTTATCCGTAGCAGCTTCTGCGCAGCAGCTTTCTGTGGCAGTTGCTGAGTAGTAAGCTTATCTGTGGCAGTTGCTGAGTATTAAGTTGCAGTTGCCCCAAACAGACACTAAAAAGCTCACTTTTTATTTTGTATTGATACATTGTTTACGGGCTATTTAACTTCCTTACATCAACTTGTTACTATAAGCTGGACAAATTTTTGTGCTACTAATTGCTTTCAACAAGAACATCAAATAGTAAGTTAGACTCCTAAGCCAGAAAATATGGAAGAAATTAAAACAAAATAAGCAGCATAGAAGAGAAATTAAAATGTTATATGATGGGATACCTTCATCCAACAAAAGTTGTATTGCTCTTCTCTCTAGCTCAACAGCGTGCTTGCTACGGCCAGCTGCAGATAGCGATCTAAGGCCTGAAAGCCATTGAAATATCAACGAAAGAATAGATTATTAATTCACAAATAGAATTTGATCTTCACAATCCATCTACATACTCTGAATATATTTCTCCTGATTAGATTGGTCACAATTTTTCAAAAAAGTCTGCAGACGAACAAATCGTTCTTTCCAATATCCTTCACCCTGGCTATGAGTTTCAGTCTCAGTAGCTGGGGAGACAATATTATGATTTGTTATCAGATTCCCAGGCTTCCAAGAACCTGGAAGAGGTTCTGGTCTCAAAGGTGAAATGAAAGAAGAAGGTGATGAAAACCGAGTCGAAGAACCAGAGAGCTTTGTCTCCTCTTCTTTGGGTGATTTTGTCTCGCTCGACTGTTCCTTCCAATAATTGCTCAAACAAGGCGGATCAGCACTCTCCACGTTTTCTATGCTTAGTTTGCTTGGTTCGACATCTAGCTTACGACGAACGTATACTAAATGTCCACTGTAAATACTGTGTTGTTGGGGATGAGTAGAAGGGCTGCATGGTTGCTCTCTTTTACTTCCAGATAACTTTGCAGTTTCAGAAATGGATTCCCCATCATTATGTGGCGAAAAATCTAGAGGATTAGAAGCAAAATTATTTATTTCGCTGGGTAAATCTCTTAAAGAAACTTTTTTAGCTGAAAGTGGGGGTTGCTTTTCTCCGCTTGGCATGCTAGCTCAACTGTTGTTATATTTGTATTGTTTAAAGTTCAAAGTAATCTATAGAAGCCCTCACCTGAAAAAATTGTAGAGATGATTAATAGAATGAAGAATAATTTGCCATAGAAACTCTAAATCTCTACAGATTTATGTATGTCAACAGTAAAATATCTGCAAAAAAAAGACAAAGGATAGATAATCTAATGTAACCATTATAACACCTTAGATAATGAATCCGTCGCTAAACTAGCTTTCTCCATAAAGGCCATTGAAATAAGTGGAAGAAATGAATTCAATTCATAATTAAATAGGCACAAACTATGCCCATTTAACTTTTTCTTGGAGGAGCAAAATAAAAGGAATATACTTGTGTGAGTGCATATGACTAGTAAGAGAATTCACGTAATATATGCAAAATAAATAAATAAATGAATAAGAAACATTACAATAAAAGTATAAAACAAACACAATTCTCTCTCTTTTATGACAAAAAAATGACTGCTTTAGCTTGATAAAATAAAGAAATGAGTAATGACAAGAAGATGTAGTTAAATCCAATGCGCCTTAGCTATGTAACTACCCATCAAGTAACATTTGCCTAACTAAAAGAACTTGGTGGGAAAGGTCATAAACAATAAAACTACTCAAAATAACATGAGTAAAGTTCTTCTTACAGCGGATAATCGAGAGGCCCCAATAAATGTAAAATGATAAAAAGCATCAAGAAACTCATAAAAATAATATATTCACGTAGAATACTTCACATAGAAAAGTTATCACGCATCCAAACCATGCATAACCAAATGTTTTGGAAAAACTTTCCACTAAAGAAACACAGTCAATCGTAAAGTTCGTATACTTCCAACAACTTGTGTCCTATTCAGATGTGATAGTTTTGCATCCGGAAGGATTTCAAACCCACGATTCACCATATTGGGAAAGAATTAAAAGAGCAAAAAATGAATAGATGTAACTATGCCAAATCTATGCAAATGGGATACCTACAATTATAATTAAGCAAGGAGAGCTTTGGCTTTATAATAGATCTCAATTCATTCTAGATAGGTTCAAAATAAGAAGTTTAGAAGAGTTATTTATCCAAAACAGCAAGGAAAAAGAATTTTAAAGATAATATGAAGTTTAGACAAAGTTTCATGAGCCAGAAACTAACTCCACAATTCAAGTTAAAGCATGGAGATACTCGGTGCTAAATCAAAGGAATATTTTAACCTGAACAAAAAGGAAAAAGGAGAGGGGAAATCTTCCACAATTCAAGACATTATTCAAGGAGGTTTTATGATCTGTTTGGGGCAACTGCAACTGTTTGAAGAAATTGTTGTGTTGCAACTGTAGAAGAAACAATTGCAGAGAAGCTGTTGTTGGTGAAGCTTCGTGTCTGTTTGGTTAGTTCAGTTTTACATCAACTAAATTGCAGTTGTTTCTGAAATAATTACTGTATTGCCCTTTCCAGCCGCCCCACTCCACGAAATCTGAAATAACTGCAATTTAGCTGGAAGTAGAGTGATGGTTGGATCGGTGGATAGCAAGAGCTGATGCAGGTAAAGAGACGACATATGATGGTTGGTGGTCGGAATGGCTAGACAGTAAGCATTGCTATAAGGAAAAGGGGTGGCAGGCCAACAGGAAGAATTGGGGGTGGCCTGCGGCTAAGGGAAGGGAAGGAGAAGGTGTAAGGAGGAGAATATGAGAGGATACATCGCCACCTGGAGGCAGGATACGGCCGGAACACCACCCGTCCTCGGATATAGCCCTCGCAAGGGAAAACAGAGACTTCTGCAGAAATCTGAAAGAACTCACACAAAATAACCCTAATTCCAGCAAAAAGCGTATAAATAAACCCCATCAAGCGAGAAACTGGAAAGGAAAGGAGAAAATACATAAAAGGAAGGCAGAAAGTGGTTGGCAGTATTGTCGCCCCTTAAAAGTCTTCCCTGAAGGAACCGGGACCGACCCTCCTTATAAATGCCGCTCTTGCTCGATCTTGTAAGACTCGGGATCGACCTCCTCATACGGGGTTCGCTTGTTCACCCTGCCAACCAGTTCAGCCGACTGGCTATAGCGCACGTTATCTCCCGGGATTGGAGGAGCTTTGACTTCATTGGTTGAAGCTTTCGGTTCTTCTTCTGTAATTCTAGCAGCATCTGGATCCCACTGTAAATTGTATTGTCCTCCAAAACACCTGAGAATTTTTCCCCAGATCGAGCAAACATCCATCTCGGGCTAATCTTCTAGGACTATGTGTTCTGCATGTAATATTGAATTTTTCCAAGGTAACTCACGGTCTGTTCAATCAGATCTGAAGTGAGACTAACCCAAAGCTTCCCGCATGGAGGTGACGCTGGCGGTAAGGTATCGACCATGATATTCTGAAATGCCCTATGCCATTCCTATCCCGTGCCTTGAGCTGGTGTCACAATCCCTTCATTCCTCGTTGCCACCAAACTTGGTCTCACCGAGGCTGCTTTGTTGACAAGGAATCACTTTCAAATCAATTTCATCTCAAAACACAATCGTATTATGGTGTCGCGTATATCAGCATCTACCTCACACAACTTTGAATGGCTTAGATTTAAAGCATATTTCCAGTAATCAAATTTGAAAATTTTAAACTGAAAAGGTTGAATGAGCATCTTATAAAATGATCAATGGTAACACTTTTCAACTTATAAGAATTAGCACATAAAAATTGAGCCGTGCAAATATATGAGAAGAAATTATTATAATGAATGTGTGCCATCTCCATAGCTGCACAATCATGGGCAACACACAAAAGTCGCTTGACAGCATTGTAAAAGTAGCAGTGATTTATTTCATCCTAAATAATAGCACAACATAAACATATGAGGAAGAAACTGCAGCATAAACCCAAGAAGAAGAGAGTAGGGTGTGAAGAAGACAGCGCTTTTTGTATTATGCAAAGAGATCTCCTGCAGGATATCAAAGGCCAACTTGTTCCAGCAAACTATGATTCCGTTCATGCAGAAGAGCTGAAATATAACTAGCTGCTTTCTTGATAGTCTACTTATCTTTCTTATTGAGTTTGGTTTACATTCAAGTTAAATTGTTTCTGGATTTCATTGTTAATCAGGTTTCTTTTTGCTTCGGATTTCATCAAATAGTTATGTTTCATATATCTCAATCTTTATTTTGTTTTCCATTATTGCCTGCAAGGTTTGATATATCTTATAAAAGCACTGATCTTGATGTTGTAGAAGGGCACAATTAATGCAATCACATTTATTAAGAAAAACCATATTTATGAAATCCGGCAAAAGCTACAGAATAAATCAACTGAAGCAAAGTGGTATGGTTTAGTGAGCGAGGGATGACAAAACCTTCAGGAAGGATGAACTGGTACTGACTGATCAAATCAAACGGTAGAGTTGTTGTGTTTTTAAAAAAAAAAAAAAAAAAAAAAAAAAAAACAGAGCTAAATGAAATAGATTTCAGTGACTTAAATAGTTTCCCTAGTGGTGTTATTGTGAAGATTTTTAAGATAAACAGTGAGATGAGTGAACGAAGTATGGGGATGTGGAGTTTTAAGCGTTGGAGAGCTGCCTCAAAGAGTTCTGCAAGAATTATCATAATCCACCTGAAGTTTAAAATTTTGTCATTATACAGCAAATCCTAGCCTTATACTAAACCCTCAAACTGGCTCGCTTGGACATAAAACAAAAAAGAAACCTCAAATCTATCTGAAAAACCCTAAGGGGCGGTTTGGTAGCAGGATTTTAGCAAGATTAACCTAAACTCTGCCAAACAGTAAAAATGACATCCTACCGGTTCTTAAATCCCGTCTTTCCTCCGCTTTGCCATAAATCCAGGATTTCATAAATCCCGTTGGAAGAGGGATTTACCGGATTTAGAGAAGCTGAAGCTCGCGAAGGAGGAGAAAGGAGGAGACGGATGAAGCATACCTCTCTCAATGGTTTCGGGTAGAAGCTGCCCGGAAGGAGAAAGAGATAAGTTTCGGAGGTCTTTGTAATGGCTTCCCAGATAGCTCTAATCGTTTCTCTATAGCGGCCATGTTTTTGGCGAAACGGGGAGAACGGGAGAGGAACGTAGGGCTGCAGGCTGAGAAATTATTGCATTTTTGTAGTCTTCAATCAGACGGTAAATCGTGTCCAGACGCCGGAAGCTGCAATATTTTGTCCATGCATTACGCGCTTTTAATATTTTTTACTATTTCTTTAATATTCTTTATTAATTCAATCAAACTGTACGTTAACCGATACATATTTATAATTGAATTACATTGGCAAGTAGTAATATATCTCAAGGACAAATTTGTAAATTACCAAAAATTATTTCTAATATAAAAGTTGATGTTCCTAAATTTGTGCAAGTCCAACAAAAGAAAGCCTGAGGCGGCCTGGGTGAGGAAAGAAGAGCTCGAGAGAATTCATTAGATGCTAAGGTAAAATCAAAACTTTGCTTGAGAGAGGACTCCATTTACCTCCTTTCAAGGTGATAATTAAGGTATGTGATTGCTGGCTTGCTAGTAAGATTTTGATGATATTTAATTGGCAGAGATTTGGTGAGCATGCTTGTTTGTTAATTCTGGGTCATGAGAAGATGTAGATATATGTGTTTGAGCTTTATATGACTCTAATAAAGTGATAATCCACTTCACGTGTTTTGTTCAAGCATGAAAAATTGGATTATGCTCAAGTGCAATAGCACATTGTGGGAGGTGACGGTTGGTTGGTAATATCTTCTAGTAATTGTGAGAGCCATATGATGCAGTGAGTTGTGTTGATTCTCAATGAGAGGATGAGCATAAGAGGCGATGCTAGGATCAATGATATGCTACAACAAGCTTGACGAGCCATAGGTTTGGGGAGTCATATGGAGGGCCTTGTCAAGAGCGAGAAGGTAGTGTAGAGTTAATGATGATCAAGTCATGCAATAAGATTAGGACTTGCGACAATCAAGTACAAACTATTACTAATAAGAAAAAAAAGAAAGTGGTGATGCATAACTTGATTGGATTGGTTACAAAAAAATTGATTCAATTACAATTTATTGGATATGATAGATCAATATTCATGAAAAAATAGGATTATAAGGATACGATTAGAAACTTAATATATATTTTTATCCATCTAAATTAAAATATGCATTCAATTTTAAATCTATTTTTATCAAGAGAAGATAAAAATCTGATAAAATAAATTTATTTTAAAAGCTATAAAAATTTCAGCCATTATAATAATGGGCTTAAAAATGTTTGAAAGTTGGCTTGTTTTATATCTGTTATCATCTTATTTGACTTTGGATAACTAGCTCATGGTCATTTGGACTTCTGTGGACTGTTTTGAGCTTTGAAGTTCTTTAATGCATCACAATTTGGTAGTCAGTGGACTTCATTGTTGCAAAGTATTCATGTTCTTACAGCATAGTCAGCCTATTATCAGTCTAATAAATTTATTCTTCTTAACTCTCCGTGATATTTACTTATTGCATAGTCGTTAGAAATGAATTGTTTCTATATTTAAGAAAATTTTTAGAGCATAATAGTAATTATTGAGATTTTGTACAGGAATACTGTTGTTCTCTTGGATCTGCTTAGCGGAAAACATATTACAAAGAACAGTGAATGCCAAATTTTGTAGAGAAGGATGGGATTGTTTCTATAAAGCATAACATATCAAACAAATTTTATTCACAGGAAATGTCCAAAAGCAAAACCTTATTTTAACACAACTTCAACATGTATATTTCACTGTACAACAACTGTAAACATTCAAACAGCTCAATCACATGTTGCTTCGCTTGACGAGAGCAGAGATACCGTGCGTCACATATAACACATTTATTATACAAGTACCAAACCCAAATCTTTCGAGTGCTCAAATCCCGAGCTTTAATTCCAACACCGGAGTGACCAGCAGCCTCCAATGGCGGCGGCATGTTTAAATCAAGCAAGAAGCAATCAGGATCTTGCGAACAGCCAAAAGACGTCGAAGAGGAAGAAGGAGAGAAACGGGTACCAAAGTGCCTTCCTTTCTTCCTCCTAGTTGAACCATCTAAGGAGGAAGAAGGCAATGAGCGGATAACGACGGCGCCGCTGAGTTTACCGGAAGGAGTTTCGAGCGGTGGACCGTTGGCGAGTAGGAGAAGGGTGGCGGCGACTTGGTATTCCTCGTCGGTGAATTGGGACCGGGGGGATTGCTGCGGCTGCCGCGGGGGGTTGATCCCTCGCCAACCTCTCTCCGGATGGCAGCGCATGTGACCGAACAGAGCTTTCCATGAGGAGAACCGCTTCCCGCATTCAGTGCACGGCGGAGGGACATTGGGCTGGCTGGAGTAGTCTGGCTTTCTCTTGCCCCGTGGCTTTGAGGCGAGCAGTTTTGATGGCTTGAAGCGGCGGGGATGAAAGGAAGGGGTGAAGAGGGGCTGTGGAAGGGGAGGAGGAAAAGGAGGTGCTGGAGGAGGAGAAGGAGCGTTTGAGTGCGAGGCGTCCATGGGTTCGAAGGAACCGGTTTCAGTTTGAGGAGGAATTGTTTAATAAAAGGGGTTTTTATATATGCTGCACACAAAATGTTGGTATTTTCGAATGTGACTCACATGTTAAATAAATTTTACTATTACGAAACTGGCACAAAACTGGTTTAACGCCGCCGTCTCCAGCGCCGTCATTCAAGTTCTAGCAGCTGTGCCGATCGATCACAGCATACAAATAACTCTGGAAAGATGTCCCTGATTTGTGCCTGGTTTCTCAACCTCTTCACCTCCTCCCTCTACATTTCCGGCTTCTTTGCATCTCCGATAGCTTCCCACGTTGCCACGTGATTCAGACTTGTCTTTTCCAGGCAACAGAAACTCTATGCAAGTGTGCACCGTGGCTTAGTAACTCTTTCTTTCTATGCGCTTTAATCCAGACTTACCATATGCTTTTTGTTCGATAAGAAAACTTTGGATAAGTTGTCACGTTCTTTGGCTGCATGAATTGCCAGGGATCCTGTTCGCAAAATTGGAGGCTTAATCTGGCAGCTATTTAGGTTGTATCTTGATATCATTTTCTTTTTTATGTCTTGAAGATCGTGTGGTTACATGATTAGATTTAACAGGGCTCCACTTAAATTAGAGCCATCACTTTTGAACTTCGATGATGTTATCATTCTCTTCCATGATTTCTAAATACAGTGCAGGTTATGATTTGCTCTTTTTTATACAGTCCTTTTCATAGTGTCATGATTTGCTTAATTAGGTTTAGAACTTCTTAAAAGTTAAAACGGTTGTATTTTTTACGTGATTAGAAAGATATGATTGGTATAAATGTAAATAGCAAAATAGGTGTTTAATATGTAAATACACAAGAAATTAGTGGTATGTATGTTAACTTCCTTACAAAAAGGAAGAAGTTTAAATTTGACAGGTGCCTCTAAATCTACAACCTGACAAGGAGTTTAAATTTGAGATTAAATCAATAATCGACACAATTCATCCAAGATAGGTTTCGGAATAAGCTGTGCAGAATAGCAGAACAAAGCGATGGCTATGAATTCACAAAAAAGATCGAAAGATAGAAGAATGTAAGCATTAATTACGGTTCCTAAAATAAAAATCAAATCAAACTCATTCAATATTAATCTATTGCTGGCGCAATCCGTCCTCTTGAACAAAAACCGAACAGCGCGTCGCAGCGTTTAGGGAACGCCGAGCGAACGCGCGAAACAAACGCCATGGCGACGTTCTCAAAACGCCACCGCACCTGGATAAGCTGCCCCAAACGGACCCTAAATCTACAACCTGACAAGAAGTTTAAATTTGAGATTAAAAATATAGTTTATATGTAATTGTGCTAAATTTGAATATGCACCCATGTTAATATTTTTTTTTCATTTTCTTGCCTATGCTTCAGCAAGAATTACAATTTAAATTTTAAGTTGAAGCCAAAATTAAGAATTTTTTATAAGGGTAGAAGTCACCCGTCCATGGAAACTGAACCATTTATTTAGGATATAATCGATAGAACTACTCCCATTCTCATAGGCATCATCATAGCCCTGTCTCAAACAAGTTGAGATTAAAGCTAAGATAAAACTGTGAAATAATGAAACCAAACTAAAGAAATGGTATTCATATTGTTTCTTTACTCTTTATTTTTGACAAATATAAACTTGCAGATCTTTATCCAAATCTAACAGGTTCCAATGAATTTGGCATTTGATACTCGTCAAGATTAAATCAATAATCGACACAATTCATCCAAGATAGCTTTTGATTAAACCAATTACTTGGGATAGAAGGGTTTTTACTGATAATAGAACACATCTTGCTTTTATAATTTTTATCAGAGATGTATGTTCAAAACAAAGTCAAATTCAAGTAAAATAAAGCTAATGAAAAATAAAACTTTAGTAAAATATATCGATTATGCTACTTATATGTTTCAGATATTTGTAAATTTACTTTTCTCTATCATCTGGTTTCGGAGCACAAATTCATCATTTGATTAGACTTATCCTTAGGTTATGATGGTAATTTTGACTTATTTTTAATTTCTTAATTTGTTTTTTAACTTAATATCCCCACTCATTTGATTTTATTTATTTAATGGTTCAATCAATTGATTTTTCAAAGTAATCAAAATTGATTTCTTTGATGGTCTATTAATTGATCTTGATATTGTATTCTACTTCTAGTTTATATATTGATAAAGCTTTACATTTTGATCCCAGCTTCGTTTAAGATATCTTGAAGTCTAAAGTTTCTAATATAATGAATTGAAATAATCTATGACATAACATGATTCAGACTTTGAATTCACAGTTATAAAGACCACCAATTCAAATAAAAACACAAGTTCAATGAAAAATACAAGCTATGTTTAGAAGCCTTATAGCAAAAAAGACTCTTACTTATGGAGAAGTCTATTTTCTTTGGAAATCAATTTGAAATCACATCTAAGATGCCAATCTATGTTTCTTGTTTTTACCATAATGAAAGAAATGTTATGTCTTACTTATGGAGAAGCCTTGATTCTTTTTCTTTCTTCTTTAGGATCCTTGAGTTCAAACACATTTGGGGTTTATTAGATGCCAATCTTTTTTTTTTATATATTTTCCTCTCTCTGACCATGACGAGTTTGAAAATTTGATTATTTCATCTACTTTGAATCTATGTTTACTTATTTTCACCAAATCACAAACAACATCTTAGCTCTTCCTATAATTTTTTTCTTTTTGCACCAAATCACAAACAACATCTTAGCTCTTCCTATAGTTTTTTTTTTTATGGGTTGTCTTGGAAAAATGACACTCACCCGTCCTACCAAATTTTTTGTGAGGAATTTTATGTTGTTTTCCCAATGCCAATTGACTTGAGAAGTTGTGGCATAAAAAACTATGCTCTACATTACTCCCTTTACTTCTGGTCAGCAATTTAATGAGTCTTAAAAATTGTCGACACCTTAATTATTCTAGGTATATAAGTACCGAATATTTGTGTTCTCTATCATTTCTAGAACGACAAAATTAATCAACTGTATTTCTCATCCTCCTTCTTCAAAGCTATTTTTAAAGGTCGGCTCCCATGAAAATTTACTGGTTTACGTAGCCTGTCACTGTTTCAGATCTGTAAACCATTTTGGATTGGTTGAATGAGATAATAACTCAAAAAAATTTTAATTTGTTATATGTTCCTTATAATAGGAGATTTGGTAATATTTTTTACAGTGTTAGCACTACTCTCTTTAATGTGAAACAAGCAACCTGATATATATATATATATATAAAGAGATTAAAAGTGGCATGATGTATAGGAGAGGTACTTTACCTATTATGGGCTAATGATTGTTGTATGCACATTCAGCGGCGGTTTGAATCTGCACCTTCCTTCCTTATTATTATGTCCATTACTGGGGCCGCATAAGTGTCTTCCTCTGCTATGCAAGCTATTTTTGCAATTTGATACTTCTTTCTTCTCTTTTATTAGAATCTAATGATCTAGCAGATGTTAGGTTGCTGTTCTAAACAAGGATATGATGATTTTCATCTCAGCGAGGAGCAACTTAGTCGTCAGCTTTGCTCTTGCACCATGAAGCATTTAATGCTCAACTTAGAGTAACTTTTAAAGTTGAGAATTTTATTATAATTTTTTATTTATGTTTATTTGCAATATCCCTTATATTATATTTTCTTAAGGATTTGAGATTTTATTTTCTTAATTGTGGGATAAGATCATGCTCAAAATTTAGAGTTAGAAAATAAGATCAATATTAAGTTTAACTAAGACAAAAAAGAAACACATGTGGGTAATTAAATTAACGATGAATTTATCAATAGTTTACATTAATTGACGGTTAATCGACGTATCACAACTGTTGCTATGGATTCAAAAATAAGTTATGTTTAACCCTAACTTAGCCGTCGGTTATATAAATATTTTGAGATGAACTATTTTTTTTTTCCTACTGAGCAACTCTATAAGAATAGGTAATTTTGCGATAATTAAACGTCTGTATTAAATCATGCTTGAAATATGGTTTTACATGTGGATATAGGTTAGGGGCTAGTTGAGATCATACTTTTTTTATTTTCTTATTTATTATTTATTATTTTTTATTTTTTTATTTTTTTATATTTTATTTGAATTAAAATATAACAAAACACCTATGATTTATTAAAAGTAAAAACATAAATATAAAAATAAAAATAGAAAATAAAAGTGATGCCAAACCCAAACAAAGACTGAATAGATTTCACATTTTGAGAAGACAGTAGTAATCAATTTAGAGTTAAGTTTGGATCAAATTAAACTAAACTCTATTAGATCCATAAATTATTTTAGATGTAAAAATAAGTGCATGCTTCATATAATATATAAAATTCTGTGCAAGTTAATAAAAAATTATTTTGTTTGGCTATATAATTATAATCTTGAATTGATAGAAATTCAATCAATGATGAAGGCAGTTCTAAATATCCTACGCTAATTGCATGTTATCAGCCATAGTAGAGGAACAACATCAACGAAGTAAATCCTGCAAATTTAAGTTTCTTCCCACACCCATGTCCTCGGCATACCAATCCCCTCCAGTAATCCCTTAAACCGACTTCAGGTCATTCATTGTCATTTACAAAATCAATCAAAAACTTTACCATATCGCATAAATATA